TCCCTCCCTGGGAAAGCCCCATATTCTCTCCCCCTTTCCCTGCTTCATTATCTCCTTCTTAACCATTCACCAGCCTACCTTTTATCTGCCTCCAATGTTCAGCTATAGTATTTATTTATTTACTTCATTTATACCCCATCTTTCTCTGCAGTGGGGGCCAACACCGCTTACATTATTGTTCTTTGTATCTGCAGAAAAACCCTGTGAGGTAGGTTAGGCTGAAAGTATGTAATACACTAGCACTTTAAATGCTGTTTGCTTAGGCAGGCCGTGGCTGGTAGCAATTAGCAGTGGAGACTTTATGTTTGGCTTCTAGAATCCCGCTAATATATTGTGAAGACCTTGGGTTCTGTTATTAGTCAACATGGAGTGTTTCCTTCAAGAGTTGATAAGTAGTAATGTAAGTGACAGTTTTGAGTGTAATGGTTCATTATGAATTTTTAAGCTACATTTATAGTTCAATGTGTATCTTCTTCCTTCTAGTGATAAGAATTGTGATTGCTACATGCTCAGATAAAGCAATTATTGTGAAACGAATTGTTTACATTGCACAGCATTAGTTGCGTGTGAGCGATAATAGAAGAGACTTTTCTACAAAATTACTACAGTAAATGATTTTTCAATATATCTTTATTGACTCTTCATTTTGTCACGGATGTTGTTTTTGGATTTCCTCAATCTCCAGATGGGACCTGGAGATCTCCCAGAATTACAACTGAACCCTCTGATTTGTCCTTCTGGAGAAAATGACTGCTTTGGAGGGTGGACTCTATGGCATTATAGCCAGCTTTCCCCTACCCAAACCCTGCTCTCCTCATACTCCACGATAAAATCTCCAGGAATCTCTGAACCTGAAGCTGTCATGCTTAGCCAGGACTGGCCCCAACGGAGTCCTCTCTCAAAGGCCAAAACAGGCCCTGCCTCCTCCCCCTGCCCTTTACTGACAAAACCAATCCTGAAATACCATGGTTGTCTAGCAACTGAGGGTATCTGCTGCTTAAAGCTGCAGGAAATCCATTTATCTTTTTTTTAGATTGCCTATTTTTATGCAAACCTGTGGCCCTTTTCAGATTTGTAGAAAGATCCATCTTGCCAATTCACAATTCCAGTCACTGAATTTAAGTATCCTCAGATTTGGTCTATTTGTCTATTAGTATATTGACAAGTGGGGACCCACAAGAAACTTGCAGGAGCAACTATCCCATCTCCCCCCATCTCTGCTTCCTCTCCTCTCCCCCTACTTCTGTCACACTCTTTTTTCTCCCTCCTGCCACCCATTTTCTTACTGTTTCTCTCATCCAAGCGTGTCACTTCATTTCTCTTTCTGCCCCCCCCATTGGTCTCTTTCTTTTTCTGCCTCCCCACCTCTTCACTCTTTCTTTTTCTTTCTGCCCGTATCCCATTACTCATTCTCTTTCTCCTCTATCACTCTCTCAGCCTACTGCCTGCTCCCCCCCCCCAGCAGCAGGGGTGGTGGCGGTGCTCCCAGCTGTCCACTTGCTTCCCTCCCCTACAGCAGCACAGGCAGAGGCCGTCCAGGAATCACAATGGATCTTTCAACTACAGAGATCAGTTCCCCTTAGGATTGCCAGCTACAGGTTGGGAAATTCCTGGAGATTTGAGGATGAGGATGAGGTTTGGGGAGGGGAGGGACCTCAGCAGGGTATAATGCCATAGAATCCACTCTCCAAAGCAGCCGTTTTCTCCAGGGGACTGATCTCTATCATCTGGGTGATCTCCAGCCCTCACCAAGAGGTTGGCAATGCTACTTCCCCTGTAGGAAATGGCTGCTTTGGAGGGAAAAATTTCTAGCAGGTCTGGGGAAGGGGTTTCAGTGCTCTGCATAGCTCTTTATGGCCACTAAAACGGAAACAATTTATGTGTTGTGGTAAACACTGCAGAATAAATTATGCCATTTAAAAAAAATACAAATATGCTTAATTTTAATCATTGCTCCAGTTCACAGATTTCAGCCTTTCTTGGCATAGCATTTTAATTTCCCCCTCAATTCAGAGTTCACACAGCCTTTAACACTTGTTTGAAACCCCAGCAGCCGTATTTTGTGGGCAGACCTAACCCACCTGAGATAGCCTGAGAAGTAATATTTACATCTAAGTCTCTGAGCGGGCTTCAAAATTTTCAGCAAAAGGTATCAGAAAATTTTCTATTATGACACAGAGCCGTGAAAGTGAGAGCTAAACATGGCTTGCTGTCATTAATCACCATGAGGCCCTTTGACAGAGCAGAGCCTCAGCTTAGAGAAAGCCTCTGAGGAATGAGGGGTCAGCAGCAGCCTCCCTCTTTCGTTTTCCTTGCGGCTCTGACTTTCAACCAGTCTTCCCTGAGCTTTTGCCATGAGTCAACTGCAGCGTGTTATCTTTTGTGAAACCTGAAAGCAGCGGTTGTACATTCCAGTAATTTTATCAGTGTGCTATTGTTCACTCAGAACTTTTGACATGAAGAATAAAATAGTTTCTCACTTAGCTGGCCTCTAGATTAGTGTTGGCTTTCATGTGTGTGTCATTTCCTGCACTCCCAGGGTACTGTGAGGTCAGCACTTCAGCTGTGTCCAGCTATTTGCAAGATTCACATGCTTGTGATGGGGGTCTTTCTGTGACCAGTACCCTCTTTACATTCTGTCTTCAGAACAGCATTTAAGGTGGAAGCAGGATATATGAGTAATAGGGGCAAAGTGTCCCATGGCATTTCAGTAACAACATCCGTTTACATATAGCAAACAGTCCATGCACACTTTGTGGCAACCGGCAAGAGGATGTTATTTGTAACAAGAGATGTTTCCCTGAAACGTATGCATTCCCAGATGGCACCCAAAGATGTACTGGACCAGTTGGAGATCCAAGGTAAATGAGATCTTGGAGATCTGTCAGATCTTCTGATTTTTTTTTTTAAACAGAGGGCAGAGGGGAATTCAGTGCTAGAGCTTAATTTATTTCCCACAGCCCCTTGACACGGCCACACCCTCTATGGAACTGCTATCATGCCCCATATAGGATCTGAATGTTTTTCCACATGAGGCAAAGAGCAGCTAGGGAGGAACAGTGTTGATTAGCTAGAAAACGGTACTGAGGGAAGGGTCAACTCCCCTCCCTCAGAAATGCCGCACTAATTTGACTGAATTTCCTTCCTCCGCATGACTGCTTTTTAAAAGAAGTGGTAGATCCTAATCACAGTTCCTCCAAGTGACATTTAGCTTAACCCTAAGAATTAAACTGCAAATGACAGGGCAAAACTGCTCCTGGACTTCAGAAAGCGGGTGCGGAATTAAATTCTCTCTTATCTAGAACACGGACCCCCAACATGGTGCCCATGAGCACTGTGGCACCCATCAACCTCTTTCCTGGCGCCTGCCAGCCATTTCAGAAAGTGGGTGAGACCAGTGGGGCACATGCGGCTCCTGGAAATCCAGTTGGCTGGGCAGATTAGACGAACATTGTTTCAGTGGCAGCTGCCATCCCAGTGTTGGTTTTATCCTGTCTCACTCCAGTGTATTTTTTAAAACGATCCCTCTTCTCCCCTGCACTTAGACTTCCTCTGTGCGGTGGCCATTTGGTGGTGGTGCCCACCATCCTATGTCAGAATTCTAGAAGTGCTTATAGGTTCAAAAAGGTTGGGGACCACTGATCTAGAAAGACACTGTATATAGGAAACAAGATGTCAGGGAGAAGGTTTCTTGACTTCCTCTGTCCTTGATACACTTATTTTCTATATGCAGTGATTTATTTTCCATGGAGGTGAAGTAGATGCAGACCCACCTATCCACAAACTGAAGTAATATAATGCAGAAACAGTTTTACCTCATGATATACAGACTGTGCAGACTAACCCATCCTAAGAACCACATAAGTCCCTGTTCACAGGTTACAGTGAATGGACCCTGTTCATTCTCAATGTGCATCCATCTGTCTGGAAGAAAGAGAGAATGCACACTCAATTTACAAATGAAACCAGGGGATCAGTACCTGGATCAGAACCTGGATTCAGCCGTACATGCACTGAATGTAACCTGAGACTTACTCAACACATATATAAAGAAAAACCAGGTGTACACTGTACTTTGATTGTACATATGTTCACTGTAAATTGTGAACAGGACTTGTAGTAGCCCCATACAGGTGACCCATCCAAATGTTGCTGATCATGGGGAAGGATCATTTATTCCAAGCATTCACACCATGCAGATGCACAGACGAAGGATATGTGCGGTTAGCACATTTATGCCTACTGTCCCTTCTCATGCATTAAGTGCATATGCAAATGGGTTGTCTGTACAGGGCAAGAGAAGACACAGGGAGTGTGTAGATTCCTGAGTCAACACCAAGATGGCCAGTCTGACAAGTAAGTAGTGTGTGGGATAAAATTTGCCTCGAAACATTTTTGCTGTATCTAAGATCACCAAGGATCCTCTTCCTCCCTCTTTTGCTTCGCTACTGAAAACAATTTGGTTCTTATCAAAGACCTCCAGATCTGAGTCAGCAGCGGAAGTACAAGTAAGTGCACATGAACCACATAACATTCTAAGGAGGACTCTTGCGATTTTCTTAGCGGTGTGTTAGAACTGCTTTTGGCAATGTACACACTGGCAGCTGAATGGTTTTCAGCACCTAATGAAAGGAGATAGAGGAGTCCCACAGTTACCATGAACACTGGGTCCTTTTTGTAAGGTGGGCTAATCAAGCAGGACTGGACATTTGGAGAGGGAGAGAGAGAGAGAGAGGATGCAAATAATTTTATTTTGTTGGCAAAGTAGCGCTGGCAAAGTTTACATGCTGCAGAGAACTTTTTCTTTCCCCTGCCAGGGGAAAAAAAGTTCTTCTGTGTGATTCAAAGAGCTGCCAGAGAGCTTCCTACAGCTCCAGCCCGAACCCAACCGGCTGAACAATCCAGCCATGATCATACAAGCCACCTACAATTTGCAAAACCCCAAAGGACTGAAAAGCAAGCTCATTAATTCCATCTCCTGCTGGCCACAAATAGCCACACACATTTCCCACATTTGGGCATTATGTAGCAAAAGAGGAGTGGGGGGGCAGAGGAATTGTGCTCTTCAGCCTGAGTTATTCCCTTCTTCTTCCTGTAATCACAGTCAGAAAGGCTTTCGTTCCAGAGATCTGATTCAGCAGACCCTCATTCATAAGTGCAGCATTCCTCTTCCAGCTCCCCAGCCACAAGGGACAGAAGGGGCACGGACAGCCTGGCAGGTCTGAGTCACACGCAAATCATCTGAGTCTTTTATAATTTGGTTTCCATCAAAGAAGCGTATTATTTGGTGAGAATGCAGGGCAGGAGACCTATCTTGCAATCTCTGCCCCTGACAAAGCCCAGACAATGCCTTTGCATCTGTCCCTCTGGGGAGTTTAAAAAGTGGAGTATCTAAGCATTCCTCCTGCACAGCATTTCTGCCTCCATTGAAACAAAACTGATTCACACCCAGCTACAAAGGGAGCCCAAGCCAGGACCAGTCATGGGCAAAAGGTACCTTGTAGCTAGGTCTGCTATCTTGCTAGGATTGCCAACTGCCTGGAGAAAAATGTCCTGTCCCTTTAGCAGAGGGTTAATGAAATGTAATGTTATTTACCTCCAAGCCAGGAAAAGCTTTAATGACCAATTTTCACACATTAAGCCTCTAATAAAGGTACAGGACATTTTTTTCTTCTGGTAGACTCAGTAGAACTCCAAATAAAAGAAGGCAACTTCTAGTACTACACAGGCCTTATACTGGCATAAGAATGGTTTGCTTTCTTAATTACGGCTTACAGCTAAATGCCTGCTTAAGGATCAGGATGTGAAGCCATTGTTTGGTTTACAAACCATTGTTTTCATTAATCATGGTCTGCACTGATCAAATTCATGGTTAAGGCAGCTCCACCACCTTGCCAGCCTTTCTGCTTGCAAGGATTTCATTGGTTACTCCCTGTAAACACCCTCAGCAAGAAGGGTTTAGCTCATCAGGCTAAACCATGGTTTTCACTGCACAGTGGGAATTTTTCTTTTAACCAACACTGAGGCAACAATCCATGATTATCATTAAAAGTATATCAGCAGTGATTCAAATTAAGCTCTTGGGATGTTGACTAAGGTCAAAGAGGTTCTACATTCACTAAAGTATCCTTTACACCTATAATATTATATTATATTATATATATATATATAATATAAAATGACCTGGATTCTGTATCTATTAGGACATTCCATCTACATATCCCTCTCAACTCCTTACGCTTATGGGACAGGGGCTCAGTCTATGTACCACCTTTTACCCAGTTGAAGGACAGTGAGAGCAAGAAGCATGTCTTTCCCCATGATGTAGAATTCACTCCCAGCAGAGAACCCTATGGTGATCTCCTTGGCAAAATTTTTGATCTGATGTTCCAGATGGCTTTTCATGATGTCTGATCAGTAAGGTAAAGGTAAAGGTTCCCTTGCTTGAAAGCCAGTCGAGTCCGACTCTAGACAAACACAGAACACTGTTACCTTCCCACCGAAGTGGTCCCTATTTATCTACTTGCAATTTCTTGCTTTCGAACTGCTAGGTTGGCAGGAGCTGGAACTAGAGATGGGAGCTCACTCCATCATGTGGGACCCAGGTCTCGAACTGCTGAACTACTGACCTTCCACAGCCTGCAGTTCAGCGTCTTAACCACTTGAGCCACCGCAGCTCTGATCAGTAGTCAGCTCCTATTGTTGATGCAGCTGGACCTGTAGGTTGTTTTACAGGTAAACTGTTCATTGTTTCTGGCTGCTAGGATGGGGTCTAGTATTTGCTAGACCTTTAATATATGATGACTGGTAATATGTTATAAGAACACACATGCATACAGCTTGCTGCAACATTTCATCTACCCACCTGTTCAGGTCGTACTTGTGCATTAATCAGATGGTAAACCACTGTCTCAGAAAGGCCCATATTGACAAGCAGAAACTCACTTAGGGTCTCTCCATCTTTTAAGATATCCTGGATTCTTATCCCTCTTCCTGGATAAAGACAGAAATGATAAGGAGGCCATCATGAGCTAGTCTAGCAGCAAGGAAACACACGCTCACTTGGCAGTTTTTAGCAAGCTGTTATTCTGTGACTCTCTCAATCCTTATTCCACACCTTCTGCAACATGGGTGTAATAATACTGGCTTATCTCACAGAGGTGTTGTAAACATCATGAGATATTTATTTCATTTATTAGGCTTATATCCCTCCCCCACAGGTAGGCTCAGGGCAGGTCACAACATTCCAATCAGCAGCATAATGACAACAAAACATTAGGATGTAAAGAAACAAACTAATTTAACACATTTAACAATAAAAGATAAAGGACAAAAATTTAAAATCAAGTTATGGTCCAAACAAATCAGATGACAACTAATCAAGGCAGATTCATAGTGCCTCCGGCAGTGATGCTTTGTTGATCTCTGAGAGCAGGGCAAATTGTAATGAGCGCTATATGAGCACTGCAACAGTGCGGGCAGTGGGAGCAGGGGAGGCCAGTATGGGTAGACGACCACCTCCTCAACCAAAGGCCCAACGAATGGCTCCATTTTACAAGCCCTGAGGAATTGTAGTAAATCCCACAGGGCCCTGATTTCAAGCGGGAGCATGTTCTACCAGGCTGGGGCCAGGGCAGAAGAATATTCTATGCTACATGTTTTGAACACTAAAAAAAATGCTGGAAAGGATATTGCAATTAGCAGGACTCTTTTTGTAGAAAAAGCCCAGCAGGAACTCATTAGCATAATAGGCCACACCCAACAGCAGGAACTCATTAGCATATTGGGCCACACCCCTGACAGCACAGCTCATTAGCACATTAGGCCACTCCCCATGTTACCAGAAGTGTGGTTATCCAGCCACACCCACCTTTTGCTTGTTATTCTGCTTACCTTGTTTGTTGTCAAAACCCAGGGCTTTTTTGTAGCAGGAACTCCTTTGCATGTTAGGTCACACACCCCTAATGTAGCCAATCCTAATGAGTTTCTGCTGTTGGGTGTGGCCTATTATGCTAATGAGTTCCTGCTGGGTGTGGCCAACTTGGGAGCCAGCCAGAACTCCGTTCCTGTGCGTTCTTGCCCAAAAATAGCCCTGGCAATTAGATTGAAATTACGTTGGCTGGTAGAGAAAACCGGGGACATGCACAGCATAAACATAACCCGTGGAGGAAGCAACCAAGGAGGTACCACACTCCCCTGCATATCTTAAGTTGGTTGATTTGCCTTAAACAGCCACTTTCAAACTTCAGGGCAGCACTCTTGGCAGGGGAGGGGGAAGCGACACCTGGAAGAAGGTGCAACATTGCAGAGAGGGATAAGATCCTGAGGCAGTTGGATCCTTCCTCTCCTCCCCAGCCAAGGCATAGGTGGATGGAACGTCATCCTTGATTTTCATTGGTTGTTGGGGTGACTGCTCCACCCACCACCTGCCCTGTAATATCATTCTAGACCAGCTTACTTTTATTATAATGATGTTTCCCTGTTTATGGTTTAGGAGGAGTCAGATCAAGATCAAATTACAGGAGGAAGCACCTTTCATTCAATGCTCTACTTATTTCGATGGTCCCTTTAGTTACTGTTTATAGGAAGCTGCAGAGAGGGGCTTGTCCTGGCCACAATTCATTAAGGTCCCACAACCCTACCCCCCCCACAACCCTACCTCCCCCCATGATTGTAGCTCTGAGTCAGAGATGCCTTGTGCTTTCCTTCTTTCTAACCTTGGTGTTGAATTAACATCGCAGTCCACATACAGATCTTTTCATACAAATGACAGTGTACAAGGATCTCCCCATGTACTCTGCTACGGAATAGTTAGTTAGTGGCAGGCTGGGAAGGGGCTAGAGGACAGGATCCTTTGGGAAAGGAGGGGCATTTGAGCGACATTGGTTCCAAACAGGTTAACACATTCATTTAACTGTAAACAGCAATTGAGCGGCTTAAAACAAAAAAGAACTTGAATGTGAATTGACAGTTCTATTGCACGTTACACAAGAGGCTTGGCATTTAGACCACACTTGTTTATTTTTCTGAATGATGAATAGAGTTGGCAAGCTCATAAAAGGAAGACCTGGGATTTCAAGGAGCAGAGAATAAGTTGCAAAGGCCTGGAGTATGGCCCTGGAACTGTACGTTTCAAAGCCTGCAGAGAGAAAGAGTTTTCACCCACCCATCCAAAGAGAAATTGTTTGAGAAACTATTTCTTCAGTTCACCTCTCCAAGATAGTTGCAGTCATTCTAAATGCTGTCTTTTAGAAAGTCCTGAATTCCCCATTGATTTCTCATGACCAGGGCTGGCTTAATCATTATGCTAGGTATGCTTTGGAATTGACCCCCCCCCCCATCAAACTGGGTTACCTGCTGAAGCCTAACTATTTTAGAGTTTTCCTGTATGTGATCCTGTATGTGATCTGCGCTGAATGCTACTGCAGTGGGGGCTTGTTGCTGGTATGTGTGTGACACATAAGTTAGGAAATCTCATCCAAGCACTTGATTGCTAATGTGGCAAATATTAGTATGGGGCCATTAGACATTATATCATCAGCATTTCCCAAATGAGACCCTATAATTTCCCCAATAGAGCACAAGATTTAATACACCAAACATTAGAGTCATAAAACCACTACCTTACAGCATGTCCCCAGAGGTAGATTGGTTGTACATTTCCTTCGATGCATAACAAACTCACAAAAGTTTGCATATCTTGTGACTTACTTAGCAGAATGCAATCTGTGTGGCAAGGCCAGTGCTTGACACCCCCTTGTAATCTTGTAATATCAACAGTTAGCTATCATAGAGGACTGGTGTGCTGAATTTGGCTTGGTGGTTCACAACTTCCATAGACATCACTCCATGCAACTCATGCTGCGCTACAGGATCAGCTGGCCCACTGATGAGCGGCTGACCCACCAAGTCTAAATGGAAAAGTAGCACAGTTATGGTTGCAGGTCATTCCTCAAGGGCTGTTTATGTCATTTGGAGCTGGGTCCAGAGCTGAATGAAGTGCTGGTAGAAAAACATGAGGGGAGAGGGCAGAGACAAGCTCAGGCCAGTGTCTGAATCAAGATGTTCAGCTGAAGTGAGGGATTGGAACAAGGGTGCAGGCAGGCAGCAGGCAGAGGGCCAAGCAAGTAGACTGGGAAGCTGGCAAGGAAACAGGTGGAAAGTCTGGCTGGCAGAGACACCTGGACCTCAGCCAGGGACTTACATCTGACTGTTGTTCAGTAAATATAAGGTGTATCAACCTACATTTCTTCTTCTGAGTGAGGATAGTATTATCAATGGTTTCAAAAAGAAAGAAAACAGAAAGGAACATTACCTGCAATCCTTTCTGGATAAGTCCTCATTGTTTCCATAAACTGGGATAAGGTGCGCAATTCTTCCCAGAGTCTGCCCAGTTGTATTCCAGGGGCTTCCAGTAAAAGTTGTTGAGCATCTTGGTACACTCTTGCTAAACTGAAAGACAGAAAATGCTCCATAGCATTGACAGCTATTTTGTTGAAATTCGTTTCCCGTGGTGCTATCTGATGCTGCTGGAGATACATCATGGATGAAAACATGAACCTGCATTATACTGAATCAGACCATTGGTCCCTTGAGGTCAGTATTGTCTGCTCAGACTGGTAGCAGCTCTTCAGGATCTCAAGTTAAGGTCTTTCACATCACCTACTACCTGGTCCTTTTTAAAACTAGAAATGTTGGGGATTGAACCAGAGACCTTCTGCATGCCAGGCAGATGCTCTGCCACTGAGCTAGGCCCCTCCCCTAGTAACGCTATCACATTCATATGGTTATTTGCTTGGGGCTTTCCCACCTGACTGTTACTCTCCATTCCAAAAGGGAGGGGACCTGAATAAATTATAATCACTCAGAACATATTCCTGAGAGCATGAAAAAATGAATATGTCACCATAAGAACACACCAGGTTTCCTTAATGGATGGTAAATGAATAATAGCATTCTGTCTGTATTCCAAGGATGAGCACTGAACATGCGTGACTTCAAAGAATGTGACTAAATACTTCAGCTGATCATCACTAAAATATAAAAATAAAGGAACTGAAAAGGATGGGTAAACAGCTGCTGCCTGGCAGCTGCTCATGGAAAATGACTCTTGAATTTTGACTTTACTACTTTCTGACCTTGATTTCAAAAAATAAAAAAAAAATCTGAAAGTTGTTATACCGTAGCCCTGGGACAGATGTAACTTCCCAGTTTCTCAACCATGGTTAAGACTTTGGAAGTACTCTATGGGCTTATAGCCTTGTTAACCATGGTGCACCAAGGTTACCTTAAAACCAGATGTTTGAGCTTGTTTAAAATAATGAGGAACACATATACAAAGCTGCCCTATGCTGACTCAGACCGTTGGTCCATCAAGATCAGTATAGTCTACTCATAAAGGCAGAAGCTTGCCAGGATCTCAGGTAAAGGTCTTCCACATCACCTATTACCAGGCTCTTTTAAATGGTGATGCTGGGGGATTACCTGGGACCTTCTGCATGCTAAGCAGATACTCTCCCACTGAGCAATAGCCAACCATGATGATTGGACAGTTGCAAGGCTACACCATATTTAATAACAATGTAGGGCACAGCTCAGGAGGAGGGAAATAATGACAGAGGAAGGTAACTAGTGGAGAAAGGTAGATTACCCTCCATAACCAGGTAGATTAGTGGAGAAAGGTAGATTACCCTCCATAACCAGTCTCAGAGAGGTAGGCTTACACATAGTCACCACCCATGTCAAAAAGCACACTATCGAGGCAACTGAGATAATAGGCTGTATCAGTTTTTACAAGAAAGGACTGAGCTGGAGTTACGGTGAGAGTTCCAGAGTTTGTTCCAGAGAACTAATCATTTAAAACACCTGGGGGGAAATGAGAATATACCAGCTTCAGAGAAATATCCTAGAATAAATGAGTTAATTGTGTCAATACTGCAGAAAATGCCTGGTGTAGAAACTCCTGAGAATGAGGCAGAGTGGTAGAGAAGTGGGGAAACTCAGTGTGGAAAAATTAGAAATACTTACAGACACTTATATGCTATACATGTTTATCTCTATGTCACAAAATTTGCCCACAGCTCAGGCTTATCTGGAGTGGTTTTCATGATGTAATAAAGCAGACATAGCATTTTCAGTCTCTATCCGTGCCATCCTAACCAGAGTTATACTCTTCTAATCCCACGGATTTAAGTGGATTATGAAGGTTGTATTGGGATGGCACTGTAAGTACAATAAGGCATCCTGTAACATATGTTTTCTTAGTCCAAGATGCAAGAAACTCTCTTTGCTTACATTGAATTATTGTAGTTGGACACAACTCCTGGAGACTCTCCACGGGTAGGACTTCTGAAACAAGGATTGTTTATGTTACAGAAAATGCCTTGTAGCCATGGCAGAGTTCCTGCAGAGGGCATTCCCTTGTTTGGGAAATGACCTGGATATAAAGAAATGAAACACAGAAAATTAACCGCTGGTGTTGGTGGTTGAAATAGTTCAGGTGAAGACATAGCATTTCTACAAAGAGTTCTTTCAGAGCTGGTTGTAAGGGGAACAACATAACTATTTAGCATTATGAGCCCCTCTGCCTTCAAAACCACATTTCTAAACAAGGAAGGTGAATTCTAAGGATATGCAGTACTAATCCAGATCTGATCTGAACTACAGCCATTTGTGAATACAACAGGCAGAGGCAAAGGTTCTAGTTGCAGATGCTGGCGGACAGGCAGGGCTGCGGGGGACGGGGGGACGGGGACAGTAATAGACAACCTACCTGCCCTGAGAACTGGGGTAAAGGGTTAGAAGCAGAGGCTTAAGGCTCCCTCCTCCACAATTGCAACACTCACATGCAGTGCATGCAGACACGCATAGATGAAAGAGGGAATCAGCGACAATGAAGGATGTGACAATTTTTCTAAGTACAAGAAAATGGCTGATGCAGAATACAGGAACTCTTAGATGTGTTTATTATATTTAAAGTTGCTGCCCAAGTTCATCCATTCACAAGCAAAGTAGTCTCTCTCTCTCTCTCTCTCTCTCTCTCTCTCTCTCTCTCTCTCTCTCTCTCTCTGTGTGTGTGTGTGTGTGTGTAAGATCTACTTTAAAACAAAACCAATTTTGTTAACCTTGCTTCCCCCATCCACCCACCCACAATATCCTGCTGCACTGCAGTGCTGGAGACATATTTTCTTCTGGTCATGTTCCAACACAAGTCAGCCAGGATGGGAGAAAAATGTTGAAAGAAACCGAGCACAGCATGGGGGTAGGATTTTCCTTTGACTATTCTATTACAAAAGAAAACCCCATTAAGGCTTCTGGAAAAAGAAGCAAATCTCACTCATATTCTACTTCATGCCTTTATGTGCACACTCTGCAAGTAAGAATTTTAATTGCATAGGGATGTTTCCTCCTAAAAAATGTTGCCTGAAATTTGGGATGAAGGATCTCTTGGATGGTATAAAAAGGTACCTTTGCCAGAGCGATTATGCCCATGTGGTTCAGGGAAAGTTGAAACAATTGAACATATTCTACTCCACTGTGTATTTTATGAAACCCTCAGAGTAAAGATTATTCATCCTATCCTACAGGATTTACTGACAAGGCCCTGAGGAAGAACCTGGACAATGTAAAGAAGATCTAACGCGCCGTCTCCATTGGGCATTAATATCATGGGAGCATCACCTGGAACTGTGCTGACTCCATCTTGGACATATGAGATCAGTAACTGATTGAGCACCATTGTTTTAGTGTTGATGTTTTAATATGTTTCATGTTTTAACTATGGCACGGTGAATACCCTGCCCTTGTTAGCCGCCCTGAGCCCACTGGGAAGGGTGGGATACAAATGTGAAAAATAAATAAATAAAATAAATATCATGGATATTCAGACAAGGAAATAAGTAGGAAACTATTATTTGATCCTGTCCTGCAGCTCATAATAAACTGTGCTGAATTTCTAGCAACAGCTCAAAAAAATACGTGTTACACGTGCAGAACAATCTTAGAAATAATCTAGAAGGTCCAGGAGATGCGGAGCAGAATTGTATAACCCCGAGAACACTGATTAAACTGTTATTAGAGTATTGTAGAAATTTAGAGTTTTAGCAATTACTAAATACAGTTTTTATTTAAATATCTGATATTTTATAAATCTTACTAGTATCTTTTTTGTATTGACATACTGAGGTGATTAATTGATTGCAATTGACTTGTGCTGGTTTTATACCAAATAAACACTGATTGATTGATTAGATCTCTTGGATGAGAGGCACAATGTCTGAGAATTTCATCTCCGTTGGAAGGAGGAAAGAGAGAAAGTATACTCTGAAATGCATTTTCAGTTGAAAGCAAAGAAAGGGACTCTCAGATTAACTGCATAATACAATTAGCTTTAATTCCAGAACAAAATTTGAGTCCAGGAGCACCTTAAAAGACCAAACTTTCATGAGATAAAGTTCACTTCATCAGATACAGTATCTGACTAAGTGAACTTTGACTTAGGAAGGCTTAGATTTTGTTGGTCTTTAAGGTGCAACTGAACTCCAGATTGGTTCTGCTACTATAGACTAACATGACTAACCACTGGAAACTAGCTTTAATTTCAGTATAAAAAACCCCCAACTTACATTTTTAAAATGTCATAAGAACCAAGACCATCGTTTTTCTTTCACTTCTCTGACAGAGTCATGCAGTGTGTGTGTGTGTCTGGTGTAGTATGGTTTGGTATAATGGTAGCTTTCTCCCTGCATGAAGAAAGCCACCATGTTTGGGAGAAGTGTTTCAGCTTAGAATTCTAGCTTTTTATAAGGTTGTGCTTAGGGTTGCCAGACCCCCCCCCCTGGAAGTGGGGGTCCCCCGTGCAAGACACCATTAACCCAGCCCAAATCAGCTGGCCATCGGGGGGATTTACCCCCCAAAAGAACGAGGTCCAGCCAACGTTGCAGCAATGTGTCTACATCCCTCCTGACATGACCCGTAAGTGATATTATCATGTCAGCAATGTCAGAGTAACACTCTGGTATTTGGGCAAAAACTCTATGGTAGGAGCCAAATTTACCATAGAATTTTTGCTCAAATACCAGAGCATCACCTGATGGCACTGCATGAAGTCACTTTTGGGTCATGTCAGAAGTTACGTAGACACATCATTGCAATGTCAGCTGGGCCTCCCTCCCGCTCCTGGCAAGTCCCCCACATCCCCTGCCGGTTGCCAGGAGAGACCTGGCAACCATATTTATTTATATTTTTTATTTATTTATTTATTCAATTTATACCCCGCCCTCTCCACCGGAGCAGGCTAAGGGTGGCTTACATAAAAAGTGAATGCATAAATAACAGTTAAAGCTGTTCTTTCTTTTTCCCAGAGGGCAGAGCCAGAAGGTAGGCTGCTGCAGGAAGAGACCCTCATCCTGAGAGAAGGGTGAGTAGTCTAGTGCCACTTGGAACAGTGAGCTAGGGACAGTATATTTTTAGGCGCGTTAGGGCATTTGATTTCTTTTCACCCACTTACTGTTATAATTCTGCACCTTGTTTGTTTGACTTCTTATAAAATAAACTATTTTCATTGTTCACTCTGCTTGGTCCTCATGCCTATTATTGGGCCAAAAGGGAGGTCTAAAGGCCTGGGAAGGTGCTCTGGGCCTTCTCAGAGGAGCCTGGAACCAGAGTGGTGGCAGCGTCAGGTGACACCCTACCTGAGCCGTGACAAGCTCGTTGATCTTTCCCTGATATAATCAGCAGGCATAGGCTGCGGACGGCAAAACTCGAGGACCAAGCCTCTATAAGTTTCAGTTGTTGTTATTGATGGTGGTGGCGGCTCCTTAGTTAAAAGCCTGGTGGAAGAGCTCCATCTTCTGGGAGCCACCACCGAGAAGGCCCTGGCCCTAGTTGTAGCCAGCCTGGCATCCTTGGGACCCAGGAGGGCCAGTCAGTTTTGATACCCTGACCGTAGTGCTCTCTGGGGTACATATGGGGAAAGATGGTCCCTCAGGTATGTCGGACCCTGGCCATAAAGGACTTTAAAGTTAAGAGCTAGCACTTCGAAGCAAATTTGGTATGCTATCAGCAGCCAGTGCAATGTGTTTAGGACAGACTGGATGTGCTCCCGCATGGGGAAGCCCACCAAAAGCCTGGACGTAGCACTTTGCACTAACTGCAGCTTCCGGATTTGCGACAAGGGCAGCCCCATGTAGAGAGCATTACAGTAGTCTAATCTTGAGGTGACCATCACACAGATCACTATTCCCAAGTCGTTGTGGTCAAGGAAGGGAACCCAACTGCCTAATCAGCCGAAGATGGTAAAAGGCTGACTTGGTAGTGGCTGCTACCTGGGCCTCCATTGTAAAGGAGGCATCCAAGAGCACTCCCAAACTCCTAACCCCTGGCACTGGCATCAAAGGTTGGGAGTGGGATCCATACTCCTGGACTGCCCCAGCTCAGGCACAGGACCTCCGTCTTCATTGGATTCAATTTCAGTCAGCTCAGTCTAAGCCAAACAGCCACAGCTTATAACGCCCGGTCCAGATCTTCCAGTCTGGAGTCAGACTGGCTGCCCAACAACAGATAGAGCTGGGTGTCATTCACATACTGGTGACATCCCAGCCCATACCTCCAGGCAATCTGGGCAAGGGCGCACATATGGATGTTGAATAGCATCAGGGAAAGCACCGCCCCTTGAGGCACTTCACAATCCAGTGGGTGCCTTCTGAACATCTGTTCCCCTAGTGCCACCCTTTGTCCCCGACCTTGGAGAAAGGAGGCAAGCCAAGCCCCTGAACTCCTATGTCGGCAAGGCGGTGGATCAGTAACTGATGTTCGACCATGCTGAATGCTGCTGACAGGTCTAACAACAACAGTTCTGCTGATCTGCCCCAATCCAGATGCCCCCGGAGGTCATCCCGATCCAGGTGCCTCCAGAGGTCATGCTTGTTTATTTTTTTGCATGGGAGGTTTCTCACAGTATAGTCCAAAGCAGAATTATACTCTTCTCTGTCTGTTAAAGGGTAAGAGTAAGACAGATATAAACTGTTAAGGATTGCGTGGTCAGTTTGCTTAAAACGAAAGCCAGGAGGTGGGTTGGATTGCTTTAAGTTACAGATGCTGCTCTTACATTCATGTTGGCGATAAACTGGGTTAGCCCTCCTCAGCCAGACAAGGACAAGAAACAATGACAAAGGCCATAGAATCTCAACCAGAAGACGAAGCTGAAAAAGAAACAATGGGATGAATTAATTGTACATACAACCTGCAATCACTGTGACTCCCATCATTCTTATAAAACACAAATCCATCATTCCAGTATATAAGAATTATTTCTGAAGCAAAACTATCGATTACAGTAGATTACAAACCAGCTAGCAAGGCTAAAGCTGTCTAATTAATCACTGTTGCACAACAGGGCAAATTTTTTTGTGGGTGAGTCTTCAGAATATTGTTAAGGAAAAGCAGAGAGATAAGCCTTTTCACAAACCAAGCAGTGTTTGAAAACTCTTGCACCATCCAGGAGCAATCCTAAAGAACTAACATTTGGAGCATTCTGTGTTTTTGTGTATACCAACACAAATCTATGTTTGTTGATGTATAATGCGGGAAATGGAGATGATGAGCAATAATTGTCTCACACTATGGAAACATTACAGCAAAGAAGAGAGAAGTTTCGATTGGTGCCCCGTAATTCATTGTGTTGTTTATTATGCTTGGTGACTCAGGGCCAAGCTGTGTGCTTGTGCTACCTTATGGATGCTGATGCACCATACTTCTCCCTGGTAATATTTAATTAAAGCAGAAATGAGATGTGACAGCATCATATGTTGTGGATGGCATCCTACCTTCGGCCTGAGGACACTTCCTTTAATGTAAGTGGCTCTTACACTGGATGAGCCATTTAAATCGGAGGAAGGAGCCTTAGGCTGAAGGAAGCTTTCTAGTTTTGCTGAGTGAAGTGGATGGAGACAGGTCAGTGTTTCCTCATCTTCAATTCACTGACTGCTGCTTGTGTAAAGTGGAAAATGTTTGTTAATCTGGTATTTCTGAATGCACACAACATGGTGGTGTAATCTGATAAATTATCAAACTCAAAGAGAAGCCATTGGATGTTATTGGACTCCTCATATTCAGAATCTTTTAGGCAGACCTCGGTTCCTGCCGAAGGGCACTGGAGCACCACTCCGCCAGTCAGGAGCCCAGGGGGCGGGCTGATAAGCCCCTCCCCCTGCTCCCACCAGCCATCAGTTGGGACATGGTGGGGGAGCGAAACGTCCCCCCGCCTCCCTGAGCCCTGGTGTGGTGGCCTTGGACTCGTAGGGGCAAATTCCACCTCTCGCGAGAGGTCATTCTGGCTCCCCCAGGTCTCCTTCGGGGCTCCTTAAAAAGTTATGGCCACCGCCGCCATTCTCGGTGGCAGCTGTGATGCCTGCGGGGGGGGGGAAACGTTCTCCTGCCTCCCTGAGCCCCGGGGTGGTGGCCTTGGACTCATAGGGGCAAATTCCACTTCTCGCGAGAGGTCATTCTGGCTCCCCCAGCTCTCCTTAGGGGTTCTTTAAAAACTTATGGCCACCGCCGTTCTTGGCAGCAGCTGCGACGCATGCGGGGGCGGGGTGAAATGTTCTCCTGCCTCCCTGAGCCCCGGGGTGGAGGCCTTGGACTCGTAGGGGCAAATTCCACCTCTCGCGTGTGATGTCCGAGTGGCGTTGCCGCTCGGACATCACACGCGAGAGGTCATTCTGGCTCCCCCAGCTCTCAGGAGGGGATCTTTTAAAAGTTATGGTCACCGTCGCTGTTCTTGCCGGCAGCTGCGACACCCGTGCGGGGGGAGGGTCGGGGCAAAATGTTCCCTTGCCTCCCTGAGGCCCGGGGTGGTGGCCTTGGACTCGTAGGGGCAAATTCCACCTCTCAGGTGTGATGTCCGAGCGGCAACGCCACTCGGACATCACACGCGAGAGGTCATTCTGGCTCCCCCAGCTCTCAGAAGGGGCTCTTTAAAAAGTTATGGCCGCCGTCGCTGTTCTCGGCGGCAGCTGAGATGCCCGCGCGGGAGGAGGGTCAGGGTGAAACGTTCCCTTGTCTCCCTGAGACCCAGGGTGGTGGCCTTGGACTCGTAGAGGCAAATTCCATCTCTCGTGTGTGATGTTCGAGCGAGAGGTCATTCTGGCTCCCCCAGCTCTCGGGAGGGGCTCTTTAAGAAATTATGTCCACCGTCGCTGTTCTTGGCGGCAGCTGCGATGCCAGCGCAGAGGACGGGGCGGGGCAAAACGTTCTTTTGCCTCCCTGAGCCCCGGGGTGGCCTTGGACTTCTATGGGCAAATTCCATCTCTCGTGTGTGATGTTCGAGCGAGAGGTCATTCTAGCTCCCCCAGCTCTCCGGAGGGGCTCTTTAAAAAGTTATGGCCCCCATCGTTGTTCTTGGTGGCAGCTGCAATGCCAGCGCGGGGGGGGAGGGGCGAGGCGAAACGTTTCATTGCCTCCCTGAGCCCCGGGGTGGTGGCCTTGGACTGAAAAACGGCCTGCAGAGCTGCCCCCCTCCCCTCCCTCCTTTTTCAGGCTCCGCGCTAAAAGGCCGGGCCTGAAAAAGGGCCAGCCGAATGTCAATTTCGGCCCCATTATATCCTATGGGCCATTGAAGTCAATGGCAAAAACATAGGGTATATTCTGGGGGCTGGAGGGGAGGTAGTTTGAGGGAGAAGATCCAAACTCGCAGGGTAGCTGCTGGAGCCTCTCCCCAAGATACCAATCAAGTTTGAAGAACATTGGATCAGGGGGTCCAATTCTATGGGCCTCCAAACAGGTTGCCCCATTCCCTCCATTGTTCTCTATGGTGGGGACCCTGAGCTGGCACGTGGTGCACACACACACACACACCCTCCAGGACTGGGCTGGGACACTGCTGCTCTTGGCTGCCGTCTGGCTATGATGGTCTTAGCAGATGCAGGAGCCTTTCTAAAGCAGTTTCTTTCTTCCTTTGCCCATATACTCCCAACACCATGTTGCTCACATCACGTCTTTGAAAATACAGAACTGTTGGACATCTTTCACCCTAATGGGATGATCAGGGTAGTTTCTTTTGGAGGAGACATCAACACTCGACAACATCATTTTTTTTTTGCAACATCTGAGACACTTACAGGGCCTTTGTCTTATAGTTTGTTTATGAATATATATTTTGAACAGGTATTACACAGATGCCAAAGTAAGCGCACAAGCTAGTCTCAAAACAATATTAGTATACTATGCCAAAATCAGCATAGCAAAACACAACACATCCCCTCCACCACCACCCAGTTCTGTTTTCCCTCTGCATGGTAGCATTTCGATTGTGCTGCACATTTGTTTTTTTCTCCACTGTTTCCTGCTGCCCAGTGCTTAAAACCATGCAGAGAAACAAGTATGTGGGGGGGGGGGGACCTTCAGTTTTTCATCACAGAAAGGAAGGAAATCCCCAAGCTGCTCTCTGCTGCTGAAACTGTAAACATGATGTAACAAAAAGCAGTAGGGTATCTACTTACACAAACTTCCTTCTCTGTAGTGTGTGGAAACATCATGGTCACAGAAAAATGGGGAAATGACTATACCCAGAGGTTCAGCAAACCATATTCAGACTCCCCCCCCCCCCAGATGTTTATGTCTCAGGCCCAGGAGATTCTCCTACATAATCTCTTGTAGTCCTCAACTTCAGAGCTGCCACAAGTGTACAAATGAAACACAGTTCTTCTCACCAGAACGCATACATCAGAGGATTTTCATGCCCTTGATAGGCTGGCTGGTGGATGGGCTGAGATTGGTTTCATGCGTAGGGTTGCCAGGTCCCCCCCCCCGCCCCCCGGCCACCAGCAGGGGATAGGGCTGTCAGATCCAGGTCGGGAAACTCCTGGAGATCTGGGGGTGGAGTCTGGGGAGGCCAGGGATCTCCGCGGGGTACAGTGCCATAAAATCCATCCTCCAAAGCATCCATTTTCCGCAAAGGGACTGATCTCTGTAATCTGGAGATAAGATGTAATTCTGGGGGATCCCCGGGTCCCACCTGGAGGCTGGCACCCTGTTTGGAGGGTCTCGCAAACAGTGCAAACTGTCTAGACAAAGCCTTCCTGGGAGGAAATAAAAGTTATTATTCTTTTCTGTTTCCCTCATGGGTGCTGCAGTTATTTTATTCAGAAGCCACTTGGGTTAAATCTGGCAGGTGGAGGGCTGGCGTAGAGACCACACTGGTCAAGCTCTAGAAGAAGAAGAAGAAGAGATTGGATTTATACCCCGCCCTTCACTTGGAGTCTCAGAGCGGCTTACAAACTCCTTTCCCTTCCCCTCCCCACAACAGACACCCTGTGAGGTGGGTGGGGCTGAGAGAACTCTGACACAAACTGCTCTTTTTCAAGGACAGCTAGGGCTATTTTGGGGCAGGAACGCACAGGAACGGAGTTCCGGCTGGCTCCCAAGTTGGCCACGCCCAGCAGGAACTCATTAGCATAATAGCCACACCCAACAGCAGGAACTCATTAGGACTGGCTACATTAGGGGGTGTGGCCTAACATGCAAAGGAGTTCCTGCTACAAAAAAGGCCCTGGGTTTTGACAACAAACAAGGTAAACAGAATAACAAGCAAAAGGTGGGTGGGGCTGGATAACCACACTTCTGGTAACATGGGGGTGCGGCCTAATGTGCTAATGAGCTGTGCTGTCAGGGGTGTGGCCCAAAATGCTAATGAGTTCCTGCTGGGCTTTTTCTACAAAAAGAGCCCAGAGACAGCTGTGCCAGAGCATGTGACTGACCCAAGGCCATGGCAGGTGCAAGTGGAGGAGTGGGGAATCAAACCCATTTCTCCCAGATTAGAGTCCACGCACTTAACCACTACACCAAACTGGCTCATGCTACCTTTGTTTCAAGGTCATTTAAGAAGCTGTCCTCCCCATCAACCAAAAATGGAAGTCTGACATAAATCTAATACAGAAAGAAGTCAAGGTGTTTTCCAACTCAGAGAGAGAGAGAAATCTTTGAATTTAGCTGGCCAAGCAGAAGAGGAAGTAAAGAATCTTACCAAGCTAGTTTCTCCTGCACAGAACAGGAGACGCATTCAGTGACTACTATTCAACATCAAAGTCAGCAGAGGAGAATTTGAAGTGGATTTGGGGCTGGCAGCAGCAACAGATTTTTTCCCCTTCAATTCAAGCACTTGTTTTGAAAAAATAAATAGGGATTTGTCTGAGAGTTATTTGCA